AGCGTATCGCGCAGCAATAACGCTATCTCTTTCGCACATTTTTTTAAAAAAAAGCTACCCATGACAGAAAAAAATTCGAGGTCAATCCAAAAGACATTATTGTGGGACGTTATTCAAAGAAGGACCCTTTTATCCAAGCGGGACGCCAATGCTGAATAACAAGGTTAAAAAATTCCAGATGAAAGATGAACAGCAGCATAGACCAGCATCATAGCATTTTGAAAAATACGAATTTTTAAGTTCTTCCCACCAAACCAAAAGATGCTCTTGGTGTTACGCCACTGGAATATGCTCCTGTATCAATATAACTTGGATTTGTTCATTAAGCTGTTTAATTGCATAGTATAATTTAATTTATAAATTCGGTTTTAATTACATAATGTCAAAAGCAAATTTTTTCTGCACGCCACTGTAGGCAATACATTCAATGAGTGCTTCAATCTTTTTTCGGGGCCAAGAAATTCTACTTCATGCAAAAGTATGGGAAAAAATACCCATTCTCAAGCGAAACCCCGAAAAAGTCACTTTCTTAGGGATAAATGTAACCCTTTTTTAAAAATTCGATAATTTGCGTTATAGCCAACTTTCGAAAAATTTGAGAAATTACTTTTTTTGGGATAGTCCAAGGATCAAAAAGATTCATATAAAAATTTCCAAGATCAAAAATTGAGAATCTGGCATAGCCCCAAACTTTGCCAAAAAAACAAGACTTCCTTTACTCACCCTGTATAAGTGCACAAATGAAAGAAATATACCGGTCAAACCTTGTGCGTGTTCTCAAAGAGTTGGTGAAGAACCTCCCGAATACCGCAACTCGATATCTCTTTCCGTTCCGGAAATATCGAGATTTGAATTTGGGTAAAATTTTCCATGTTGCAAAGCAACTGTCCACCAGTTTATTTTAGGCAAGCCTTAACGATAAGTATTCCCTAAACTGACATTTCTCCATGGAAAACTGTCAGTTTGGGAAATTCCTATCGTTAAAGCTCCCCTAAAATAGTTGGTGGAAACGGCCATTACACATGTTTTTCAAATTCCGAGGTGGTCCAGTGGCCTAGTATTTGGACTCCTACCCTCCCAGCGCGGGTTCAAGTTCCGGCCTTGATTACATTTAATTACTCTCAACATTAGTAATTACCCTTTTGAGTCCAGTTTTCAATTTCAAACCGTGTTTGAAGTTCGTAAGATTCCACAATCAAATAAAAAGTTATACTTTTATTACTTTCCGCCATCTCGAATCTTATCACATTTGTAGTTTTTTTAGATTTCATGACATCCCTGTGATATAGGCTTTATTTTAAGACCACATTTTTTCAAATCGGACAAAAATTAAAAAAGTCACAGCAAATAAAATCCAGCGCGACCTTTTTGTTAACACTATTTCTAAAAATAGGGCAGGATTTCTAAAAGAGTACTCAACCTAAGCCACCTTGTATAGTATTTTAGGATTATTTAGACTAATTATTTGCGAAATCGAAAACAAAAATCCCGATAATATGTAACTTGCAGGGCGCGCCAGCATCAAAAATTGAAAGGCTTGTTTTATGATTGTTGGACCCACTTTACTGGGTCACCCTGTATAGTTAGAGATTTGGTGCGATGATGAAAAATACTTATTTTTGCTAGTACTACAACATACCAAATTTTTAAAAAAAATGACCGGTCCCCGAAAACCTATAAGATGTGTGCGATGTCCTTTGCTCATTAGGACCAGTTTTATTGCTTTGGTTGACAGCAACAGCCAAATTGTTAATTGACTCAGCCACTGCCAAAATCGATTTGGCAATTTCCAGTAACCCTTTGCTTTTATATGCTCTAGCACTGAAATATTAAAAAGGAATGTAATTTATTTGAAAAGTTATTTACCCATGTGTTTCTTTTATTTGATCATACAAATTTGAGTTTTGTTTAAAAATTCAAAGCAAAGATGCAAAAGTGCTGCATTGCTGTATTGCAATTACCTATTCTTCAAAACAGATTTTTCTAAATAAATATTTAATTTTTCCAATATTTTATTCGTATGTATAGGCATTACAAAATTACCCAACATTTAAATAAAGGACTTGTGGCCTTAATTCTTGCAGATTTTGGACTCAAAAAAAAAAGAAAAAGAGAAGTAGAAACTTATGGCATGTGACTATAATTTGTTTCAATACTTACATTTTGTTGAATTAAAGGGTTTACGGGTCCATTTACCCTTATTAACTTTTAAAGGAGCTTTGTTTCCTTCTGGATTTTCATCAATGGGTAGATCAAAATGCACAGTAGCTTCCCGTATTATAGTCTCAGGAGATTCTTGGAAAGTTCCAGGTAACTCTTTAGAAGTGGTCGGAAACTCTTGGTATTATTCTAAAAAGCCATCCTCTTTGACAGTGAACTCTTCTAGAATACATTCCAATTGATATACGTAAAACTTCTCATTTCGGCCACCCGCTAAAAGCGGCCACCCCGCTTAAGGGTCAAGTTTGGCTTCTTAAAAAAAATCTTATAGGATTTTTATAATAAAAGACCCCTCGAATACCGGAACTTTTCTAAAACGGTCACGGTCACATGAATCCGTAACTTTTAGGAAAATTACCTGGAATTTTTACCCTCAATTGCGGTCGTCTCAACCCTTCTGGGAATGTTTGCACATAGCCCGTACTTAATTACTGGTACTATTGGAAAAACCAAATCATGTAGATGGGTTTTTAAGTATGTAGGTAAGCACAATACAAATTACAAATATTTAAAATTTGTTACATCTTTAGGTTTTTATAAAAGCTAAAATTTTATTCAGTTATATTTATCAGCGTCCGATCATGTCTCTAAAACGTAAACATTTATCTCTTAAAGAAAAGTTCGAAATCATCGTGGAAAGTGAAAAATTTGGTATCAGTGCTCGAAAGATAGAGGAAAAGTTTGATGTTGGAAGAACGCAAGTGAATGATATCCTGAAGAGTAAAATTCAACTAAAAAAACTTTACGAAGAAGGAGGAGTTAATGCAGATCAAAAACGGAAGTTTCCGAAAACAGAGGGACTTGCGATTGACCAAATGGTTTTTGAGTGGTTTTGCAAAGCTAGAAACAAAAACCTTCCAATATCCGGACCAATAATAAAGGAAAAAGCTCTGGAAGTGTCAGAAAATTTGAATATTAGTGATTTTTAGGCATCAAATGGCTGGTTGGATAGATTTTGCAAACGACATGAGATCAATTTCAAAACAATTTCTGGTGAGTCTGCTGATGTGGATGAACTGAGTGTTCAAGATTGGTTTACTAAGTTGAAATTAATTATCAAGGATTATGATATCAAAGACATTTTCAATGCAGATGAAACGGGACTTGTCTGGCAATCCCAAACAAAACTTTTGCCTTAAAGAATGACGAATGTGCTGGAAGAAACTCAGCTAAGCAACGAGTGACAATTCTTTTTTGCTGTAGCATGAATGGTGAGAAGGAGACCCCATTAGTTATAGGAAAAAGCAAAAATCCGCGATGTTTCAAAGGAGCACATATTGAAAAATTACCATTAGAATGGGTCTCCAATAAAAAAGCTTGGATGACAACAGAGATAATGATTTCCTGGATAAAAAACTTTGACAACAAAATGAAAAAACAAAGTAGAAAAGTACTTTTATTTTTGGATAACGCAACTTCTCACCCGAAAATACAACTTGAAAATGTTCGAATTGTTTTTCTGCCTCCAAACACAACATCTCATTGCCAGCCATTAGATCAAGGAATCATTCAAAATTTTAAAATGATGTACAGAAAACATTTGATAAGAAGAATTTTAACTTTTACAAACACCGCTACCGAGGAAGCGTTTGAAAAAGCAGAAAAAAACATAAATTTGTCAAGTGCTATGGATGGATTGTTGCAGCATGGAAAAATGTTTCATCCACAACTATAAAAAAATGTTTCCAAAAAGCTGGATTTATAGAAACTCTCCAAGAGAACGAGATTTTTGAAGAAGAAGACGATATTCCACTGAGTCAATTATTTTCCGGCATCCCAGGAAATCCAAACCTGGAAAATGATCTTCAAATCGACTCGAACATTTCAACCGAAAATCCCAGTATTGATATGAGCAAATTATTCAGGATTTTACTAGTCAGACTGAAACTACCGAAGATGAAAACTGTGAAAGTAGAGAAGACCAGGACGTTTTTATTTTATCTATAGAAAGTATTAGTGAAGTTTGTGAAAAATTAAGGGACGTACAAAATTTTTTACTAGGCGAAGAAAATGGCGATTTGGCCATTGATATTTCAAACATCCTAATGAAATGTGAAAGTGAAGCAGCAAAAATAAAAATTAAAAATTTGAAACAGACTTCCATTGAAATTTTTTTTCATAAAGTATAATTTTTTTTGTATGTATAGAAGTGCACATATTTGAACATATTATGTATGTATACTTTTTACTGCCCTAATTCAGTAGTTATGATTTTTTTTATGTCTATATACATATTTACAGTTTATATTTATGTGTTTGTAATTATCCTTTCATTAATTAATAAAGTTGTATTTGACCTCAAACCCAAAAAATAATATAAATCTCCTTTCGTGCAAGTACATTTCAGTGAAAATACTGAATTTTATTTACATGACAATGAGATATATTTTTTTCTTTCCCCTCAAAAACGGTCCCCCCCTTAAACGGCCAATTTGTAATGAAATTTTTAGTGGCCGCTATTGAGAAGTTTTACTGTATAACTAAATGAATCTTAACTATATAAATTAAGTAAAGAATGTTACAAGTGAAAGAGAGCTAAGAATAAGATGAAAGTACATAAAATAGAGCATATACAAAAAATTCACAGCATTAGCTTGTGCAAAAAACAAGATGTGATTAGAACACATTCTTACCCCTGAGTATTTTTAACGGCTGTCAAATGAGAGCAAAAGTACCAACACCTAGTATACCTACTGCTATCGACATTAATTTCCTACTTGAATGAACCAAGAAAAACAGTGAACAATCTATGCGGTTCAAACTATAAGTGAAATATTCACCTTTTTCCAACGTTCTGCAGTCTTTTCTGCACCTCCAATACAATTCAGAGTTTTCGATATTTGCTGCCATGCTTCCTTTTTCATCTCAGGGGCACCCCATCGGATCATATCAGATTCCCAAACTAAGTCCACTAGTTTTTTATACTGCTCTGGATTTGCTTTTTTTGGTGGCATCTATAATAGTATTTATACAAAATTCATGTGATTATTTTTCTGGTAATGACCTACCAAGTTTATGATTGCAAATTTAATATTTATTATACAGGGTGCGGCAAAACAAATAGTGCAGTTGCGATGGGCGACTCCATCCACTGTGGTGGGGATAAGAACCTGGAGCGGACATATTGTGTCCGGTCACTCATTCCGTTTTTATTCGCGACAATGGTTTGGAGCGGAGAGCATCGCGGCTTCGCCCTTCGCACGTTTTTTGAAAACGGTCGTTCATCCATCACCACTCAGCGGATCTTCCGACGGCACTTTAACATTCCACGTCGTGATCCCGTTCCGCACCGCAACGTTATCGCGAGCTGGGTTCGTGCCCTGGAAGAAACTGGTTCAACAAAGAGGCCTAGGGGTATGGGAAGACCCAAAACAGTGAGAGCCCCCGAAAATGTCGCTGTAGTGAGAGCAGCTGTCGCACAATCACCAACACGCTCTGGCCGCAAACATGCAACTGCATTAAACATGTCTGACCGCTCTGTAAGGAGGATTTTGCATAATGATTTATTCTTCCATCCCTATAAGATAATGGTGGTTCAGAAGTTGAGGCCTCCAGACTTTCAAAACCGTGTGAATCGCGTCCAAGAAATGTTAGACCGTATCCCACAAAGGTCTACGTTCTTCAGTAGTGACGAAGCCCACTTCCATCTGTCTGGAGCCGTAAACAAACAAAATTACCGTTATTGGTCGGACAATAACCCACAACAAATTCACGAGAGACCTCTCCATTCCCCGAAAGTGACTGTATGGTGTGCCATTTCCAAATTTGGGGTCATTGGACCATACTTTTTTGAGGAGAATGGGTGCACAACAACCGTCACTGCTCCGCGTGATGTTGCGATGCTTGCAAATTTTTTTGAGCCAGAATTGGAACGGTTGATCGAAGAACAAGATACTGGGGATATCTGGTTCCAACAAGACGGGGCTACGGCACACACAGCGCAGATTTCAATGACAAAACTGCGGCAGATGTTCCCTGCGCGCCTTTTCTCTCTGAGGGGCGACCTTGGATGGCCGGCAAGATCGCCGGATTTGGCCATTTGCGATTTTTTCCTGTATGGCTACCTCAAGGAAAAGGTTTTTAGGCATCGTCCTCGTAATTTGGACGAACTGAAGATCCGCATTAGAGAGGAAATCGCCGCCATTCTGATCGATATGCGCCAGAGAGCAGTTGAAAACTTCAGAAATCGCCTACATCAGTGCATCGCTTCTGGAGGTCATCGTCTTGCTGATGTGATCTTTAAAACTTAAGTGAACAAATGGGGTGTAGTACTGAATCAAGCAGAATAAACCATTTTTTCGTATGTTGTGTAAATCTGTTTTAATAGTCATTCAAAACTGCACTATTTGTTTTGCCGCACCCTGTATCATGTTCTTATTTATCAAACTCACCTTTTTTATAAGAATCAGATTTCTTCTCCGCTTTTTCTATTTAAAAACAAATGGCGCTTGCAAAACCTAACGTTGCCATCAGTAAACTTGAAACCGATTTCATACAATTTTCATTTCAAGTTTACCTAATCACTTTCTCTTATTGCATACTGATTTTGCTTAATATTGATATGCGAATCAATTTCCTTTGAAATGATTTCAACATTGAAGTCGATGTATTTACTGCATAAAGCCGAATGTCCCTAGCATTTTGAGGAAACGAAATCCAATAATTTTTCTTCGACACAATCTTTTGAGAAACTTCTTTGATTACTTTTGTCACCGTTGTCTGATGTACTTCTACGTCTACACCAACTCCTTGTTGAAACCCAGGATCACTTAGAATCCTTAAAAATATCTACATTTTCGTTACATCTGATAAAGCTAAATCTCAATATGGTTTCCTAAGAACTCATTAGCCATCCAATCAACTTTGTTTGCATTGAAGCTAAGAGTACAGTGCCTTATAGTAAAATCCTAAAATAATTGACTTATTACCGAAACAATTTTCTATATTGAACCTCCCCATACACTCTACGATCACATACTTCTTTCCTTTTCCTACCAAAGTTATTGAAAAAAGCCATTTTTAACGCCTTTTCAATCGAACAACCTGCTGCAAAGTTACTCTTGAGTAGCTGCTGAAAAACTACACAAAACACTCCCAAATGGAGGAAATACTAGATAGCATAAGTAATTCCCGCAGTCTAAACTTCTATATATCGGAGTAAATAAAGCAAGGTATGAAGTAATTGCTCCTAGTACTTACTTTAAGAATTACCTGGAGTAAATGCTATAATTTTCTGGAGTAAAAACTACCAAATGGAGCATTTACTTGAAGTAAAAGCAAATACTATTTTTAATCATACCGCCCATTTCCACAGTAGAACAAATAAAAACAGCTTTGAGTCCCTTGGAAGAAAAGCGTATTGTGAACTATGTATATATTGATACTATACCGTGGGGATGTAATGATTAACTTTTTTCAATTTTTTTCTCTTCTTCTGTTTTAAAGATGATAATGAAAATATTTTTTAGACAGGTCAAATTGAAAAAAAGTGGCAGCCAGTTTTTCAAGATGTGACTCGATTTAAAAATTTAAGTGGCCATTCTCAAAGAAGACGCAGTTGTAAACCAATAGCGATAATGAAGAATGGTAAATATATAAAATTCAATGGAACGTTGTGGTGTGAAATCTGCAACAAATTCTCTTGTTTTTGTTGGAAATTAATTCATATTCACCAAATAACATCTTCTAGCATCACACCCAACAGTTCTGTAGATCTATATTGCGCAGAAAAAATGCCCGATTAATAAAATGTTTTACTCTTATTTCTAGCCCCGAATTAACATTCCAGATTAACAAGGTCTGTTATATCAAAGATTCGGTGGTAACGTCCCGTGTAAAAGAATGCTTTCAATTGTACCAAACTGAACCTTGGGACGATTGGGATTGGAGACGAATGAAGAACGACTTCCATAGAGCACACTTATAGGATAACACAACAAAAAAATACTGGAGGAGGATCAAAGCAGAAACATACTACAATATACAACACTTCAATAAATATGGATTATCATGTGAAAATAAGAATCTAAAAAAATTGCTTTTTATTTATTCCCTCTGGGCTAGTTCAGGCTAGGCTCGGCTATTCTGCAAGAATTTGAATAAAATTAAACGGGAGCGATCTGCATAGCATTAGGTGAGGCTAGACTCTCTTCATCACGATTAATTACTTCTACTACGAACAACCATCATAGCCAATAGCTTACATCAATGTATTCACAAAAGACGTAATCTGTAGCATCAACATATGTAACATCATAATATTCATCTTCATCTAATGTGCCAAGAAAAATAATATATTCTAGTAATTTTATAAGTGGGCTTTAAGATATTGGACAGTTAGTTGTTGAACTTGTAAACGATTACCTTTACCTGCCTTCTAGAATTTTTTTATGGAGTCCATCATAGCTGAATCTACTCCAGAAGTAGAATATAATAAACCGACATGGATCCAAACTCCATTAACGAAAGCTGTGCCGGCTGGGGTAGACAGGTTGATGAGGTGTCATCCGGTCCAGTAAGTAAATTAGTGGACCATAAAAGATGTATACTTATAAACATTCTCGAACAGAAAAAAGACCCTATCGTCGACCATTCTTGGAATGTAGAACCTGCGGTAGGTACCTATTTCACAGATCAAGTAAGTAAATTAGTAGAGCATAGTAGATATATACTTATAAACATTTTCGAACAGGAAAAATACCCTGCCGTCGACCATTCTTGAGATGTGGAACCTGCGGTGGGTACCTATATTCCAGATTAAGTAAGTAAATTAGTGGACCATAGTAGATGTATACTTATAAACATGTTCGATCAGAAAAAAGTCCCTAACGTCGACCATTCTTGGGATGTAGAACCCGCGGTGGGTTCCTATTTCACAGGTCAAGTAAGAAAATTAGTAGACCATAGCAGATGAATACTTATAAACATTTTCGAACAGAAAAAATATCCTACCGTCGACTATTCTTGGGATGAAGAACCTGCGGTGGGTTCCTATAATCCAGAAGCGTATGTGTTATCGAACCCGATAAACCGCTGTCCTTTGCCGGAAATGAGTAAGACGGCAAAAAAAAATAAAATTTAGGGAGCAAGAACGAAAGACACATAGCGTTTTTGCGATCTACTTAAATTAGTGTAAATATGCATTATAAAGGAAAAGTTTTTGCTAGTTTTAAGTAGGTTGAAAATGTACAGTAGCATCAAGATTTATAATTTTAAACTTTTATAATTCATTTTATTATACTGACCATTAGTTTAAGATTGTGCTTTCTATTCTATGTAACTAATAATTATCAGTTATAACGTTAAAATTTTCATAATTATGTATAGTAAAAAGTATTTTATGCACGAGCGGGCGGTAAGTACTACTTACCGCCCGCTATTTTCGTGTCATCAAACACTCTCGAATATTGGTGGAGGCCACTAGTTCAATTTAATCCGTGTTGTCAACTATGGAAATAGAAATAAAACAAGAATTATAATTTATTATGCACCTCAACAACTATAGTACATAGGTTTAATATTAATAGAATTTAAATATTATTATTTTTTGTTAACATACAAATTAAATATACAGTTATGTGAATTATCTATCACAACACCTCCTTTTCTTATGTGCTTATCAAGAACAACCGTATTTTCTGTATCATTTATCAGAGAAACAGGATGAGGTTCATCGTTTAGTTGTCTGGATGTTGTTTGGATCGAAGTCTTACCACTTGTTGAAGGAGTTTGGTGTAAAATTTGGTCTGCGAATTTCAATTTGCTCTCTATGGAGTCCTCGATATAACCCTCGGCAACCGTCGAGGATTTCCAACCTCCATGTCTTTTGAGAGCTAATACTTCTACGCCGCTATTTGCAAGAAGCGTCGCAGAAGTTCTGCGAAAAGCATGTCCAGTGTATTGAGAAGGATTTTGCAAATTTAAAAATGTGGCAATTTGTGCTGGCCATTTTCCTATGGTATTCTTTCCTACAACTTGATTAGTGCAAAAGCCGTTTCGAATTTTTAAGAATAACTTGTTTGATTTTGCGGTTTTTTGTCGTAGTTCGATATATTTCCTACAAATCTCCAAATAATCCACTCGCTGGTCTTCTTTACCAGTGATGGTGAAACTCCTTTGAATATTGGTTTTTGTATTGGGTATTTTAACAAAAATGAACGTTTCCTGATTATCTATGTCTTGTAAAGTCAAATTACATAATTCCTCCCTTCTGCATGCTCCAGCTACACCAAATATCATGCCTATCTACGAAAAAACAACAAATTAATTCTTTGCATTGTTAAAAACACAGGTAAATTAACTCACTTTCAAAATCAAGTATCTATCATCTGGTGCCTCCATTAGAAACCTGTATAAATCCTCCTTTGTGAAAACTTTAGATTTTTTCGGTGTATGGCCAACGTTTTTTCTTTTCAGAAAGGCAATTAAAGTTGCGTATTTCGAAATGTCAACATTTTCCTTCAGAAAAAGTGTCGCCTTCAGCATGGAATACTCAGCCCATAAGCTTCCAGGTGATTTTAACTTCTGATTTCGGTGTACAAAGTATGCCAAAAGCACTTTCTCCGAAACAGCCCAGTTTTTGTCAACGCACCACTTCTTAAAGATTTCAAAGGTTTTTTCGTACCGTTGCCTTGATTTTTCCGGAATCACAGCGTCACAACCAATATTCCAAGCATTTTCCAGTTCACTATCACTATTTTCACTCATATTTCTCCTTAAATTTCAAAAAAGCGTATTTGCAGCTTGCAACCGTATTGTTTGAAAGCGAGTTTTGCGTAACTAACACAAATAAACAATTTGAGAAGCACCATAACAACCATACCAACCATTAGAAACAAGTAGTCCAGCCAACTATAATAATAATAATAATTGTTATAGATAATGTGCGGTGGTGGATAACCATGGAAATAAGAGTTGTGATTTTTGGAAGCGTTGCAAATACAAAAGTTGCCAATTTTTCATTGGGAACGCGCCTTTATAGGAGGAAGACAATTCTATTTTTGAAAATGTCAATTTGATGCCATTCTATAAATTAAGTTTTTGAACTGGAATAGCCCGATCGTGCATAAAACGTAATGAGTATTTTGGGCGTTAAGTGTCGTTAACCGCCCTCGAATATTGAAGACCTCCGCTACGCGTCGGTCTTCAAACAATCTCGGGCGGTAAACGACACTTACCGCCCTTAATACTTAAATAACTATTTAAAAAAAGAAAAAAGCATTTGCTCATTGTATGACCACCCAATTATCCCAAACTCTTCATTCAGTTTTAAATCTAAATAGTTAGCCCTAAAAATTTAGTATTTGATTTTTCATTGAAAAGATAACTCATCCCCTGACCCATAAATTATTGTAATGATTGTTCATAACTAGATCTACTAGCTTTTGTAATTTTCTAATGGTGCCCCAAAACATTAGTTTGAGGCAACAGTCGTTACTCCTTTCTATAAGGTGGTCAATAAACATGTCATCAATAAATTACTGTCCCATAAGTGTAATGAATAAATTTGGGAAGTTTATTTTGATAAATAATGTCTTAGAGATTGACTTTTGCAGTTTCTGAATAATGCCAATATTCTAGGTAACAGGATCGTTTCTCAGATGAATTTTGGTTCAAAGCTCTGAAAAAAAAAATTAAGTGGTTTGAAATTGTACGAGAGACCTTTTTTTTTTCTCTTCTATTCAATCAAAACTATACAAAGTAGTCCTAAGTGTGCATTCAACTGAAAGACAGGTAGTGGATGAAATTTGTAAAGATCTTTTCGAAGACCTATTTCTGTTGGGATCCCCGGATACCAGAATGTTTGCAGATTTGTTTATTTAAATTGATTAAACTAATTTACAATAACGTCTGTATGTGAGAGCTTTAAAATCAAAGTTGAGAGTCAACAGATGGTATTGTCTTGAGAGTGACTTATTGACTCAAGATTGAATTATTGACTGTTTTGTAATTGCGGAGCGAGTTATTTATAATGCAAATTTGCGTCATTCCTTGGAACTTGATATCATCCGAGATTTTGTCAGTTATTGAACAAAGAAAAGTAGCAGAAATGGATCACGCGTTGGTCGCGTTGATATGATAAGAATTATTTCGAAAGAATCAGATGACACAAAATTACAATATCGGTTGAGCAACAAGAAATATGTTAATTCATGTCTTAACATGAATTCTTACAATAGGGTTATAACTTATATCTAAAATATAATAATAATTATAGGTATAACAATATAAGAAATTAACAATATAAAGGTAGGTATATGGGGATATAACAATCCTCCCCTGTTAAGTGTTTTGCTAGACGTTCAATGCCTGCGGGAAAACACTAAATGATAAATGTGTTAATAAGATCAAGAATATTCTTGGGTCAGCGGTGTGAAATAACAGATAAAGTTTCGGCATTTATAAAGTTAATAATGATATTTGGTTCAAATGAAGTGTGAAACTGTAAGGATTAGACTTCAAAAGAGTGTGATAAGTATTGATTATTTATGGGTTTGTTGTGTTCCAAAAAAAAAGAAATGATTTAAATTATATTTGATAAAATTTTTATATTTTTGGAATGGTAGTGATCCACTGGCATTTACAGTCGAGTCGTCAGGATGGATACTCCGTGTAAAATTTTCTTCGAGTGTGTAAAGTGAAGGCGCCAGGAGGAGGCTTTCTTCGTGGGGCTCTCCGTTCTTCAGTTGACTCAGGTAGGGTAAAAATATATTTATTATTTTTTTCTATTTACCTTTTTTTTATTTATTTTTTTATTATTATTTGTCCCACGGTTGGATTCCGAGTCCGAGAGGTTTTGCGGCCATTGCAGCTACTCGGCGCCTCTATTCATCATGAGGGCAGCTATTTGGAGCCAGGCGATGGGGGCATTTGTGAATATCCCCGCGGAGTGTTTGACACCTGCCGTGCCTCAGCCTCAGCCACAGCCACGACCAGAATAATACCTAATTGTACCGTACCTAGGTGTGGGAAATAAATGTGTTTCTTCTTTTACTTGTGGCGTTGTGTTTTTTTTTTGTTTGGTTTGGGATTGCGTATGTAACAGGTATATCAATTAAATCTTATATCTAATAACTTACTATAGCTCAATAAACATAATAAATACATGATAATAGGAATGTTCACAAAATAAAAAAAATCCGTTCAAGCATCATCAAATTATTAAGCATCGTTTCATGAGTAAATCTACAAAATTTTACGAAAATCAGAAAATTCTTTTTATGAGAAAAACGGAGACGAAATATTGATTCGTTTAAACGCACGAAACGCTGTCTGACGTCACAATGCGTAATGAGTTAGCAAGCGCAAGTACAGTGGCGTTACTAGCTACTTGGATCAGCCTCTTGTGACGTTGCTTTTGCGATTTTTGTTGGCAATAAAGAATATTGATAATTATATTATTTTTATTATTATTATGGTTCGGTTTTAATTTAACGAGAGTGTGTTTAACGTTTAACAAGTATTTTGATAATGCTGCTATCTCCTTCATGTCGATCTCTGTGTTATAGGGTTTATCGAAATTAAGGTAGAAAAGGTACTATAGCTAAAATGAAGGAAGGTTTTCAAAAGGCCGATTCACATAATCTGCCAACTGTGGACGTTATCTACAATTTTTTTGTTTATTTCGTTATCTACTATGGTATCAGAATGTTTGGTCATGTGTCGACTTGAATCAGCTCCAGTCCATTGGTGTAGAAGTAAAACAGACGTTATTAAATGTAGGTATAGTTGCATTTGAACAATGATATATAGTTATTCACCTGTAACAAGGGCGGAAAGTTATACTTTCCCGCACGCAACGGCATTTGCACGAACGACGAGCCAGCGGAATTTGTGCAAGCCGCAAGTGCGGAAAACATACTTTATGCTCGTGTCAGGCCGATTTTTTCTATAAGCGTGAGAAAAACGGGTCTTCACGCAACGATTTTCGTGCAGAAAGTAACACATTTTCGCACCTCGTAGAAAAACACGCACGTAGATACCACTCTTTTAGACTACGTTCAACTTTGTTTGAGATTCCCATCATTACACAAACACAGATAATTGGAGTGAATGAAGCTTCTGGGGATAAAGCAACAGTCAACAACACAATAAATCCAATGTAAACTTGTTAACA